CTCAATTATCACATCCTCAAGAATATCTTTCCTTAGACCAGGCACAGTGGCTCACACCTGTAATCCCAGCACTTTGGGAGGCTGAGGAGGTGGATCACTTGAGGTCAGGAGTTTGTGACCAGGCTGACCAACATGGTGAAAACCCATCTCTTCTAAAAATACAAAATTAGCTAGGTGTGGTGGCGCATGCCTGTAATCCCGGCTACTTGGGAGGCAGGAGTTGAGGCAGGAGAATCACTTGAACACAGAAGGTGGAGGTGCAGTTAGATAAGATCACACCATTGCACTCTAGCCTGGGTGACAAGAGTGAAACTCCATCTCAAAAAAAAAAAAAAAAAATAGAATATCTTTATTGACCTCCCTGATTTATTCAAATTCCCTATTATAGGCTTTTTTGTTTGCTTGTTTGTTTTGAGACAGGTCCTTGCTCTGTTGCCCAGGCTGAAGTGCAGTGGTGCAATCATAGCTCACTGCAGCTTCAATCTCCTAGGCTCAAGCAATCCTCCCACCTCAGCCTCCCAAAGTGCTGGAATTTCAGGTGTTAGCCATGGCACCTGGCGTTTTATTTTATTTTATTTTTGTAAACAGGGTCTCACTCTGTCACCTGTACTGGAATGCAGCGGTACGATCATAGCACACTGCAGCCTCCAACTCCTGGGCTCGAGGGATCCTCCTGCCTCCGTCTCCTGAGTAGCTAGGCCTACAAGCATGTGCCACTGGACCCAGCTAATCTTTTTATGTTTTGTAGACATGGAGTCTTCCTTTATTACCCAGGCTGCTCTCAAAATCCTTGCCTCAAGCAATCTTCCTGCTTCTGCCTCCCAAAGTGCCGGGATTGTAGGTGTGAGCCACTGTGCCTGGCCTCCATTATTAGCTCTTAGGACACACTGTATCTCCCTTTGGTTACACTTCCCACAATGGCAATTTTATATTTCCTTGGATGACTCTTTAATTAGCATCTGTATTCCCCAATGGACTGTAAGCTCCGTGAAGGAAAGGGCTGTGTCTGTCATGTTCATCACTATGTCCCCTAATATATGCCTAGTACATAATCAGCACTCAGCAGATCCTTATTAAATTAATGAGCAACTAGCCTGGACAACATGGTGAAATCCCGTCTCTACCAAATAAACCCACAAAAATTAGCCAGGCATGGTGGTGCACGCCTGGAATCCCAGCTACTTGTGGGGCGGAGGCACAAGGATAGCTTGGACCCCGGAGGTTGAGGCTGCAGTGAGTCAAGTTTGCATCTCAGTTTGGGTGACACAGCAAGACCCTGCCTCAAAAAATAAATTAAATAAATAAATAAATTGAAGAAGGGGCAAATTTCACATACAATGCCTCAAAAGCAATCTTTATACATACGTTGCCAAGTCAAATGCCCATGGGGGCTGGTAATATAAATGTGTTCATTGGGTAAGGAGTATTGGTAGTGAGTATTGGGGGCTACAGAAACAATAGATGTGTCTCCTAACACTGACCCAAATAAAACATCTGTGGTGGGATGGGCCGCAGTGGCTCACGCCTGTAATCCCAGCACTTAATCAAGCAGATCACTTGAGCCCAGGAGTTTGAGACCAGCCTGGGCAACACGGTGAAACCCCATCTCTACAAAAAAAAAAAAAAATAGCCCGCATGGTGACATGCGCTTGTAGTCCCAGTCACTCGGGAGGCTTAGATAGGAGGATCACTTGAGCCTGGGAGGTTGAGGCATATGATCATGCCACTATACTCCAGCCCGTGTGACATAGTGAAACGCTGTCTCAAAAAACGAACAAAGAAACAACAACAACAACAAAAAACGCCTGCAGTGAGGGACTAGCATTGTCTGTCCCCTAGACTGGCAATTATTCTCTCCTGTATGTTTTGAGAAAACACAGGATTTAACTCAGAAATAAAATCCATTAAGTAATTTGAGTTCAAATTAATAGATATCTTTATTTGAGCAAGAGAATGGAGGACAAGGAGAAAACCCACCTGGGTGAGGCAGCCAAATCCACGGTGCCTTGGTGGGGTCAGACAGTTCCTGGGGGATAACGCTGAACCCCACAAAGGCAGAGATGATCCACACACAGGCCACTGGGATCAGCACCTGAGGGGTGAGACTGAGACAGAAAAGAACTCCTCCCCAGAGCCTTCCGACCAGCCTTGGAGGGGTAGAAAGAAGCCGAAAGGTAGGGGCTGGAGTGAGCACTCCAGGGCAGCCCTTCTGACCTCTACGCCCTGCCCAGACCCACACATACCGAGAGGAGCCGGAAGGCAGGGAGAGGAGTGTGAGTTGATGAGATTGAAGCTCGCCTCCAGGGGCACACATGAAACTGGCAGGAGCCCAGGTGCTGAGAACAGACCACCATGAGCAGGATGACCCTAGGAGAGAGAAGGCTTTAGGAGCTAGAGCAGCAGGCATCCTGAGGGATGGGAAAGGAGGTGGGAGTGGGCAGAATACCATAAAAGGGGCTGTCCCAGAGAAGGAAACTCCCATGGAAGGAATAGGAAGGCACCTTGAGGGACAGCAGAAGACAGTATGAAAGTCAGAACAGATGAATCAAGGAAAAGTCTTGGATTCCAAATATAAAACATGTCCCTATTCCAGATGCTGCTGAATCTGATAGGACCAGCAGCTCTACCCTCCCCCTGTCCCCCCATACACCCCACTAGGCACCATCCCATGCCTCTCAGGACTCAACGTACAGCAAGGCCAATCCCCAGTGAGAAGAGCAGAACTGGGCCACCTCCCTGTGGGCAGAGAGCCCTGCCACAACCAGGCTGGGGGCCAGTACCAGGGGCCCACAGTGGAGGAACACGCGGCCAGGACTCCCCAGCAGCCCCAGCGTGCCCTGCAACAGCCCAGATACCACCACTGCTCCGGATACCTGGTAGAAGAGAGGAGAGGATGGAGAGAAAACATTCTGCTCAGTCAAACTGGCCTCAGCCTGGTCTTCCTAATTCTAGGTATGGGTTCCTCCCCTAGCTCCTTTCCAGGAGCATCTCAGTCTCTGCATAATGGAAACAAGAGCCCTCCCTCCCACCTCCAAAAGCCTGGCACCATCCTTATCCCTCCTCACCTCTAGACACCCACCTCCTGGAGAGAAGTGTTCCAGTGCCCCAAGTCATGGCAGCTAGGTCTCCTACACAGATGCATGCGGGAGGCTAGGAAAAGTTTGGGGCATGGAAAAGAGAAAGGTGAATGGGATGGAGACCCATAGCTCTACAGTCCCACTCCTGGCACAGGTCCAAGCCCCCTACATTGTCTCAGTCTTGCCACTGCCCAATCTCAATCCTGCACCCACCTACACCTGCACGCTTGGATGAGAACCCAACCCCACCCTTACCCCTTGCCCTTGCTCTGTGCTCACAGTTTCCAGGTGTCTGGATGGCCAGAGGTAGCTTCTGGCTGGTCAGCAACAGAGCAGGGATAAGGAACTCTAAGGATGGAGCCTGGACAAGAGGCAGCCTGTAGGAACAGCAGCCCCAGCAGGTCTGGAAATATGTGGCAGCCAACAAAGCTCCCCCAGACCTCTCCTACCCTCCAGAACCCTGCCCCTCTCTCCCGGGAGGTTCCTCTCACCTGCTGCCCACCCAAGTTTGCAGGATGGTAGACACACCACATGAAAAGAAGCTGGAGGCCAGGAGCTGAGAAGGGGAGTATGAGAGTCTTCCTGGGGGGAGACTGTAAAGCAGGAGCAGGTGGGAGACACAGAGCAGAGAAGCCACGACCAAGACATGCTGTAGGTGGAGGAATGGGGAGGGCAGTCTTCAGAGAGGTGGAAATACCTACGATACTTCCACAGGCTTTCGTGTGCCACACACACCTGCTTCCCCACACACGCCATCAGCCAGCACCTCTGCCTCCTACCTGCAGAGCCAGAAGGCAGCTGAGGCCCCAGGGCAGAGATCCACACAGAGGATCCCAAGAGTGGGTGGAGGGATTCTGGGGAGTAGGTGGAGGCAGGGAAGCCAGGGCATCCTGTGAGCCCACTGATCGGAGTTGGTTGGGATTGAGAGGTGATCGGCTCATGCTGCCCTGCCTTATGCTTTGTCTTGGCTGCCCGAGGCCAGAGTTAAGTAGACAGAGTAAGAGGTCAGAGTTTGGGTGAAGTCTGGGGTGGGGAGAAGGTGGGGGTGTCAATGAAGCGGAGCAAAGGTATAAGGAATTTGGGGCTGGGCACCGCCCTTTCACCTTTGCCCAGCTCTTGTGTAAATTCCATCAGCCATTAACTGGGAAGCTGAGTTCTGGAGCCCTCCCCCAAGAATCTTCTTCCAGATTTCCTGCTCCTAGACCAGGCTGTAGAAAGTAGGTTAGGAGGCGTGGGGAGAAGAGATCTTCAAAATAATCTGGGGAAATTTTGCAGACTTCATTCCCTCCCATTTAAAACCATCACTATTCGATTTATAGTCCTGACCGCTTTCAGGACCAAGGCCCCTAGACTACTTCAAAATGAAACTTGTGGGCCAAGTGTGGTGGCGCATGCCTGTAATCCCAGCACTTTGGGAAGCCGAACTGGATCACTTGAGGTCAGGTGTTCAAGACCAGCCTGGCAACGTGGTGAAACCCTGTCTCTAATAAAATTCAAAAACTAGCTGGATGTGGTGGCACATGCCTGTAATCCCACCTACTCGGGAGGCTGAGGCAAAGAATAGCTTGAACCCAGAAAGCGGAAGTTGCAGTGAGCTGAGACCGCACCATTGCACTCCAGCCTGGGTGACAGAGTGAGACTCTGCCAAAAAAAAAAAAAAAAAGAAAAAAACCAAAAACTTGTGGCTAATATATCCTGTATCTCATGTGACAACCACAACTACCTGTAACATGCTCACTGTAAAGAATAAAATTTATAACATGTTATTTCATTATGTGAAGGCTTAAGCACAACTAAACCAGAAGACAATAAAGTACAATGAAGTAGTCAATTCCCACACCCCACGTAGAATCGCTGTGGTTGCAATAGCTACAGTGAAAGCCGATGTTGGTAACCCGATTTTCCAAAATGGCAAACTTTTGGTTAAAGTGCGAAGTAAAACAAAGTAGTTTTAATTGACATGAGAATGAATTCCTAGCAAACTCAGTCTTTTCCAAAATGCACAAACACTGTTTTATGTTTAGAGGTACAAAGATAGTTCTAGGCTCAGATAAATAAACAGGGTTTTCATATACATAAAGCTGGTCATTCAAAAGTTGTCTTGGGAATTCTTCACAGTAAGGGAGGTCTGAGCATTTCAGGATGTCTAGCATCCTGCCCAGGTTGATGAAATGCTAGTAGCATACCCTCAAATCCTTCTGACAATGAAAAAATGGCCCATGAATTTCCAAAATGCCCTCTAGGGGGCAGAACCACCTCTTCCATGAAGGATCCTCAGCAGTCCCTGATTCACTCGGCCAAGCTGCCCAGACTATTTTCCTTCTTCGGGTGATGACCCAGCCTTGGAGTTCTTCAAGTTCTTGGAATTGTTAAACACATGTGACCATCACCATGTGTCAGCCCAGTGAGGTGGTCAGGAGATTGGTGTCCTCATGGCTTGCTCTCAGGAGCGCCTGATGGTGCTGGATACAAGGCCTGGCCCCTCTCCAGGAGACAATTTTCGGAATCCACAAGGAGAGTGCTCACCCAGAACAAGTGACAGACAAGGCCAACTCAGGCACGGGACAGTCACTCTTTGTGCCCCATGGCACCCCAAGTCGAAAGTGCTAGGGCCCAGGGTCCTGGGAGCAGGAACAAAGTTGGAAATGGAAGCCTATGCCTATTAAATGATAGGAAAGTCCTGAGATGAGGTTCAGAGAAAACAGTTTGTGAGATGACAGGATGAGGAAGCAGGGAGGCTTGGAAGGTAGATACAGGGAGGAAAGATCTTTAAGGGTTGCCGCAGAAGGAAAAGTCCAGGCCATGCAACCGAAACTGTTTATTGAAACCTCAGTTCTACAAAAGCGTGAAAAACCCTGATACAAAGCAGCGGCCAGAGAGGCCTGGGAAGAGAACACCCGGGAGAGAAACCAGAAGAGAAGGAAGCCTAGGAGCAGGACACTAAGAGAACACTGGAAGACAAAAGGTCAGGGTTGAAGGTCCCAGCAGTCCTTCGCTCCACTAGACTAAAGCTAAGGAACGGGAGTGAAAAGGGTTTCCTGCCTCACCCAGCAGCTCCCACCTGACCCCATCAGTCCCTGGCTCTTCTGCCTCAGGAACATCACACAGGCCCAAGTCAACATTTCCTTCCTCCTCTCACCCCACTTCCCTTATCTCCCACCTTTACCCTTCCATCCTAGGGAACTAAAAAGTAAACATCTAGAAAAGCCCAGGGAGGCAGAGACGGGCTTCTACTATGTCCATCTGGGACATGTCCCTGGTTACCAAGTGGAAGCTCTCCCTGGTGCCATCACTGTCCTGGCCAAGCAGCCAGACAGCCGCTGAGGTCTAGGAGTGAATGACCTTCAGTCCTTCTGCCCCACCACCCCATAAGCTCCCACCCAGGAGGACAGGGGATCTGCCAAGGACCCAGAGAGGATCTAAATCAAGCTTTGCTCCTCCAGGTTCTCAGAACTCCCACACCCTCTTAATGCATTCCTCGGAGCCCAACCTAGCCTGGGAAAATGAAAGACTTGAGGCGAGCCAGCTCCATGACGCTGAAAAGGGAACATTGCTGGGGCTGGGGAAGCGAAGGGGGCACTGGACTCCAGGGCCAGGGAGGAGCCAGGCCATAGGTATGGTACCAGGGGCTGGGCTGTCCAGCAGGGACTGTACGGTTGGGGTGGTGGCAGGCACGGCAGGTTGGGGAGTCTCTCTGGAGCTTCTGGCAAAGGGGGCAGTTATGAAGAAGAGTAGGAGGGGCAGGGGGTTCTGGGGGAGGCAATGGTGGAGGAGTCAGCGAGGCCAGAAGACTGCCCCAGAGTGACTGCAGCCCTGTGCTGCCTTCTAGGTAGCTGGAGACATTAGCAGGAGATGGCAGGCATCGTGGCACAGAAGGTATGCAGGGCTCCAGGAGGCACCGGGAGGTCAGTCCAAGGTCAGGTGGCCCAGGTTCAGGGCTGCAGGACAGCCCCAAAGACTGATGTATTACGGCCACTGATGCCACAGCCAGGGCCACACTGCTCACATATGCCACAGCTAACAGGCAGGACAGCTGCAGAAGAGGAGGTAAGAAAGGATTCTGACTGTCTTTAACACATTCTCACCCATTATCTCTAGAAACTTGTGTTCCAGTTGGAGCCATTTATACCCCATCTTGCCCATCTATTCCCAACCCCATCTCTCGGGCCTTTCAGCAATCACTTCACACCATCCCACCCTATACACCAACCTGCTGAAGCTCCTGTCCTTCCAAGCCCTCCTCACCTTTACCAGCCGCTGGCAGAGGGAGCCCAGGGCAAACTGCCAGGTTGGCTGCTCCAGCAGCACACACAGGTCTGTGTAGGTGTACCAGCCTCGCCGCCGTCCCTGCTGCTCAGCCACACTAGGGGAAATAGAGAAATGACAGAGTATGCAACTCTCCCTCAGCCAGCCCAGTGGCACCCTCCTGTCACCCAGGACCCACCAGGACACACTGGGGAGCTTGTTAAACCTACAGATTCCTAGGCTATCTGCTGATCTAGAAACTAAGGGTGAGACCAAGACCTATATTTTATTTATTTTTATTTATTTATTTTGTTAAGACAGGATCTTGCTGTTTCCCAGACTAGAGTGCAGTAGTGCAATCATAGCTCACTGCAAGCTCGACGTCCTGGACTCAAGTGATCCTCTAGCCTCAGCCTCCTGAGCTGGGATTATGGGTGTACTCCACTGCACCTGGCTAATATTTTTTTCTGGTAAGGTCAGGGGTCTTGCTATATTGCCAGGCTGGTCTCAAAATCCTGGACTCGAGCAATCCTCCTGCCTTGCCCTCCCAGAGTGCTAGGATTACAGGCATAACTACCGTACCCACCCAAGACATGTATTTTAAATAAGCTGCTTCCCACCTTCCCAAAGATGATGATGAAGAGGACACATATGTTTGGGAACCACTATCTTGGCAATTCTCTTTCTTGTCTCCCTCCACCCCTAGTTACACAGACTCTCATCTCCCCCCACCCCAAATCCCTCAAGCCCTTCTTCTCAACTCCTAGAACCTACCAGCTCTCCAGCCAGCTCAGCACCTCAAAGATCTCTCGAGGGTCAGTGTAGAGACGCCAATCCTGTAAGGAGAGAGGACACCAAACCAGACTTGGATATGAGCCACAATCGTTGAATAATAAGAGCCATAGAAGCAACTACAACCACCACTATAGCTAATGCATATTCAGCACTTACTATGTGCCAGATACTGTCTCAAAACCTTTTACATATTAACTCACTGAATCACCACCTGCCTGGTTTCACATTATACCCTCCGTTAAGGAAGAGGAGAGAAAATGATGCTGAGAATGGTTCATGCCCACAGGGAGCTAAACATCTAAGGGCAGAAAAAGTATGGACACAAATACTCAGAACCCAATAGGATAAACTCTGATTCAGAGTGTACCCTGTGGGACCCTGGAGGAATAGAGAAATAGAGCCTCACTGCTCTAGAATCTCCAAAACTGTGGTTAGTACTGCAGAGATAGGAAATGAAGACACTAACACAAAGGCACAAGAAAAACAGAAGACAAATGACAAACCAACAGAAAGCTGTACAAGAACAAAGGACTTAAATATGGTAAAGATGGGCCAGGGAAACTGAGCAAGAGGGAGAACAGCTACTCACCATGGCACTCAGGAAGCCCCTCTCCAAGGCATTGAGAGTGGGCACGGCCACACCCCCAGCAGCTCCCCATTCATCATTGAAGACTTCCTCCTCCTCCCCTTCATCATAGAGGTACTTACTGGCCACCATCTGCGGAGGAACCAGAAGTGATAGAGCAGAGCTCATAGCAGGCTCCTGGCTCACTAGGGAGACAGGGAGGGGGTATCTTACCATTGAGATCAAGAACAAGTCAGAGGATGACACGTGCTGCAAGTAGTCTGGGTTTCGGTGCCGGAGCCTTTCAATGTACACCAGAGCCAGCATCATAGCACATGGGGAGATACACGCCTCCCTGAGGGTAGAAAGGATCACTAATTAAACCCAAGGGTCCTTTGACTCTTGCAGGTTTTAAGATGCTAGCTCATGTCCTAACCTCTTATCTTTGGAAAAAACTATTCCTGGATGGGCACAGTGGCTCATGCCTGTAATCCTAGCACTTTGGAAGGCCAAGGTGGGTGGATCACTTGAGGCCAGGAGTTCAAGACCAATATGGTGAAACCCTGTCTCTATCAAAAATACAAAAATTAGCTAGGGGTGGTGGTGCGTGCCTGTAGTCCCAACTACTAGGTAGGCTGTGGCACAAGAATCACTGGAACCCAGGAGATGGAGGTTGCAGTGAGCTGAGATTGTGCCACTGCACTCCAGCCTGGGCAGCAGAGCAAGACTATCTCAAGAAATAAAAAAAAAAAAAAAAAAAAAGAAAGAAAAAGAAAAAACTATTCCTCTTTCTCTAGGGTCCAAACACTCTCATCCTATCCTCATTTTCAGGCTCACCGGGACACATGAGCTACGTATTTCTTCTGGAGTCGGCGAATAGGGCTGGGGGCTGCCTTCTGGAGCAGTTCCACAGCAATGTCTGCAAGGGACAGAAGGAAGGCCGAGTGAGCAAGTAAGTACCCACCCCCAACACACCTAGCAGAAGACGCAGATCTGTATTTTCTGAGGCCTTGGGGACAGGACCAGGACCATAGTAACAACATAGAGATCAAATTCTCCCACACCGAGACAAAAAGCCCATTCCAAGTTTGAATTTCAGCTCATTCTAGCAGGAAAGCTTACTGCCCTGTCACCTGAAATTATCCAGATTTGTCTATCACTGCTGTTCATCTGTGGCATAAACAGGCCTTGTTTACTTGGGGAACATATAATGGATATCCTTGGAAAATGATTTTCAATATATAAATCAAGAGTGGTTTGTAAATGTTTTTTATTCACTTGGGCTAAAAGAATGGGAAATACAAACTGTTCTCTTAAATCAAGTACCAACAAGCTACCAATGAAAAGACAGTGCAGCCACGGGGCAAACCTCGAATCATTTTAATGGCTGATAACAACCCCATTTTCATGCTTCTCACTTGCCCAGTCATACAACACTGCCTAACCTGCCACCGGGCTGGAGAGCTCCTCCAGGCTACAGTTGGCTTCCCAGTCCCAGCCATAGTAGAGCCTCCTTCGGATCCGGGCACTCAGCTTCTGGTGTCCTGGGAGGAACTGAAACAAGGCAGGCGCAGCAGAGGGTGAAGGGCAGGGAAAGGTATGATGGAGATCCTGGCTCCGGGCTGGAAGTCGGTGCGGAGGACAGGCCGGCCTCACGGCCAGGAGGCCCATGCCATACCCAAACCCGCATTCTCTGAATCGCTTGCCAATGGCAGCCTGGTCCACAGGAGAAGGCTCCCCTACCCTCATCGAGGGCTCCCCAGGAGAAGTTCTCCGAGAAGGGCCCTAGTCTGGCCACCCCTACCCCCATTCCTATACCCCGTGGCTCTCCCTCTGGGCCAAATCTGCCGCCGCCTTGAGGAGACACTGCTCGAGCGGCTGCCGCCCAGTCCCGGCACGGGAGTCAGGCGAGCTCGCGGCGCCGCCCGGGCCCGGAGGGGCGCGCCGGGAGGCTGGGGAGAAGGCGGGCCGCGCGCTCACCGTGAAGTCCTGGAAGCCGGCGAGGGAGAAGGTGCCTTCTTCGTCCAGCAGGAGCCCGGTCAGGTCCATCGCGCCTCCGCCCTGCCAAGGTGAAGGGAAGGGAAGAAAACGAGTTGTGGGGGGCGCGCGGAGCTGTCCTCGCCCGCCTGTCCACCTTGCGCGGCTGCCTCCCCGTTGCGGGCCGCCGCCCTGGCCCTCGCAGCTCCCTCCCCCCGGAGGCGGAAGGCGGGGCCCGGGCTGGCGGGCGCCTCTTCCTGTTCCGTCCCGGGTTTGGCACGGCGGGGAGCCCTAGGCCCCGGGAGCCCGGCGTCGAGCGTCCGTGCGGCGCTCACCTGGCAGATAGAGGAGACCTAGCTGCGAGGCGCGTACTGCGCGCGTGCCGCGTCCGACCGGCGTTTACAAGCTGCGGGGATGCCGCCCGCGAGTCGGCGCTCCGCACTTCCTGCCGCCCGCTCCGCCCAGCCTCCAGCCCTGTGGGCAGGCCCCGGACTCGAACTCCTGGTCTCCCCGAGAGTGGCCAAGTCCCAGAGCTGAGCCTCAGGCGACCGTCTGAGAAATGGGGACAACCCCCAGGGGACCACGCCGCACTGAGGATGAAGGAGTCAGACAGACCTTTCCGTAGCAATGGTGAAGTTAATGTGAATAAGACGAGACGCACAACAGGCAGTTGTTGTCAATTGCTTTTTAGAAAGGGAGATTATACACACTCAGCAATTCGTACGAAAAGCATCTGAAAGGATACACAAGAAATGTAGCAGTGGGTGAACTATGGACAAGGAGGAAAAGAAACCCAGGGGTCCTTTTTAGTGTAATCTGAACTTTTAAACCAAAGGTTACTGCGGAAATTCTGGATCTTAAGCGAATATAAGGCCCCAAAACATGTCAACACGTCCACCCAACAGTAAACTGCATCCACCCAAGGTTTTGTTTCTAAACCCACCTCCCGCTTTCAATCTCATGCTTGAGGAGGCCGAGGTGGGAAAGTTTAAGGAGATAAGAAAAAAACAAGTTTTCTGAGTAGATGGAGCTGTTTTCGAGTCTGTCGAGTCACGCGCTGGTGTGTTTGTTTACCCGCTGAGAGGAGGGAACTGGGAGGACCAGTGCGTTGTGGGTTGAGAAATGGGACGGCCACCGCCCTTCCCGAGCAGAAGCAGATCCTACCGGGGATACTGGGCGTCTGGAAGCCCACTTCCTGCCCCACACGGGGGATACCGGGGCAGCACCACACTCCCTAGCCGCCCGGCGCACTGTGGGATAAGAAAACGGGCTCGACTGCCGGGACAGGGACCCGGACTCACACCCGGGGTGATTTCGGCAGCCAGAAAACACACCTCAGTAGGCGCAGGGTCAGCGGCAGCCGCCGGCGCGCAAGCGCGGGCCGCCCTATCCGGGCGGTTGGGCCGCGTCACGTGACGGACTCGGCGCTCTGTCGTCACGTGACGCCCCTCCGCAGCCTCTGCTGTCCTCCGCTGCGCCCCCTTCCGCCTGACGCGCCCCCGGCGGCGGCCGCGCAGCCCTGGCTCCTCGCGGGCTCGGGCGGCGGCTGCGGCGGGGCTATGGCGAGCGGCGGTGGCGGGGGTAACACCGGCGCAAGTGGGGGGCCGGGGATGGGCCTGAGCCTAGGCCTGGGTCTGGGTCTAAGTCTAGGCATGGGTGAGGCCACCGGCGAGGCAGAGGAGGAGGCGGCCACGGCCGAGGCGGTGGGACGCCTGGCCACGACGCTGTGGCTGCGGCTCCGCAGTTGGGAGGCGGTGCTGGCGGCGGCGCAGCGGCTGCTGGTGTGGGAGAAGCCGCTGCACAGCCTGGTCACGGCTGCCGCGCTCAACGGCCTCTTCTGGTAACGGCCGCGGAGGAGGGGGCGGGGCCGGGCTGAGCGGGAGAGCGGGGGCGGGAGGGGTCGAGAGCACCATTCCCCATTCTGGGTTATCACTTGGCCCGGCGGAATGACCCATCCCAGTTTTTGCACGCTGGCATCCGCTTAGGTTGTCCCTTCTGTCTCTGAGTCGCGAGTCAGGCCTGGCGGTGCCATTCCCCCATCAGTAGGCGCCTTTCCGCCTTCTGAGATGGATGCAGGAGCCTCCCTCACCCACTCACTGCTGAGGTGCCTGTCTCTCCCTAAGGTTGCTGTCTTCCTCGTCCCTCCGGCCCTTCTTCCTACTCAGCGTCTCACTTTTGGCCTATTTTCTGCTGGATCTCTGGCAGCCTCGCTTTCTCCCTGACGTTTCAGGTGAGTGTTTCTTCATTCAGTAAGCATCCTTTGGGCACTTGCTGGGTGCCTGATTCCGCGGGGTGGGGTTGAATGGTGAGGGGAACGGACAGCAGGTCACCTGCCTCCCAGGCATACCCCCCTTCCTTTTTGCAGGGAATTGTCTAAAATGAGAATTGCCCCTTTCCAAAGTTAATATTACTGCAGGTGCAGTGGCTAAGATTGTGAAGTCTGCAGCCATATTGCCTGGGTTCCTTTCCCTGCTCCGCCACTAACCATGTCTGTGACCTTGTAAAAGTAGCTCAATCTCCGTTTGCCTCAATTTCCTTATCTGTAAAACACAGATGATAGAACTTACTTCATAGACAGGTGAGGAGAGGATTAAATCAGTTCATACACATCCTATACTTGTGATAGTGCTTCACATATAAGCTGTGTAAATGGAATGTCAGTTTTGTTTTTCTTGTTATCCATATAATTTACTTAACAGGTGATGGGCTGTGTGTGAGTTGCTTGGGATATAAGCATGAGTAAAATGTGTTCCTATGCTGGAGTAGGGTAAAGTCTAAAGAAGGAGACAGACACAAACAATAACATGTGACAGCTCCCCAACTGGCATCTGAAGAAAGTGCACTGGGGCTGCAAATGAGGGACAACTATTCCTGCTTTAGGGAGTGTCTCCCAGGGCCCCTACCACTCAATAATTTGTCCCCCTTCTATCTCTCTAGCATCATCCCCAGAGGAGCCACACTCTGACAGGTGAGTGCAGGCCACCTTTTGAAGACAAATGCCTACATTCTGTCCTGCTTGCCGGTGCTGGTGTCACCATGGAGCAGGGCAATGCCCCAGCATTGTGAATGGACTGGTAACAAGCCATGGGTTTGTCATGGTCCTAGGCTCCCATGTAGGTGTTCGCGTGCCTGCTCCTTTCGGGGCAGAGGGTTGGGTCCTCCTGACTTTGCTTGCGAAGACCAGGACAGCCTCCTTTTGGGAGGTGGGGTCGTTCACTTATTTAAAAGGAAGGTATCATTGGCATTCTCAGAGGAATTTGAGTGTCTAGGAAGCTGGTATCTGAGGCCTCCAGGGGTCATGTCATGTCTCCCCAGTGAGGGTGCGGGGTCAGGCGCCCGGCCGCACCTGCTGAGTGTGCCCGAGTTGTGCAGATACCTGGCTGAGAGCTGGCTCACCTTCCAGATTCACCTACAGGAGCTGCTGCAGTACAAGAGGCAGAATCCAGCTCAGGTAACCTCCCCCAGATCATACAACAGTTCACTACACACTGAACGGGAACAGAGGTGGCAGGGGATGGGAGTGGAGTGATGTAAACTCCCCGGTTGGAGACCCTGAAAGAAGAGGCCTGAGTGCCTCCTTGAGGCAGCATTCACAGCTAGTCCCTGGTGCAGGAGGCAGTCTCACCTCAGGAAATAAGCTTCTGATAGCTTGGCACTTTCTCCTGCCAAGGCAGACCAGTGTGAATTACGGGAATCGGGCACTATTTATTGCCAACTTCCTGAATTGGTGGTCTTGAGCATCCTCTTAACCAAACTGGACCACCCCATTCCTCAAGGACATACACATCCTTCTACCAGCTGAACAGTAGTTTCTTTTCCAGCTGAGCGGGGCACATATTTCAGCCTGCTGTTCTTAGACTTGTGCTTCTCTTTGCAGTTCTGTGTTCGAGTCTGCTCTGGCTGTGCTGTGTTGGCTGTGCTGGGACACTATGTTCCAGGGATTATGATTTCCTACATTGTCTGTGAGTAGGGTCTGTCCCTGCCCTATTTAAAGCCCTCTCCTTTCTTCTTTCTTTGTGCTGATCCAGAGGGAAGACTACTCTCTCTGCTCAGTTTCTGATTTGTGGAGATCTCCAGGGATGCTTTAGTATTAGTAACTGTGGGGAGGAGGGCAGTGGATGTGGTGAGAGGAGGTTGGCACAGCCTTGGGAAACGACTTTGCCTACCTTCAGCACTTCAGTTTAAGGACCAGTTGAATGGGGGCCATTAGCAAATTGGCATAGGGAGCTCTTAGTTGACTCTCTTAACCCATAGTGTTGAGTATCCTGCTGTGGCCCCTGGTGGTTTATCATGAGCTGATCCAAAGGATGTATACTCGCCTGGAGCCCCTGCTCATGCAGCTCGACTACAGCATGAAGGCAGAAGCCAATGCCTTGCATCACAAACACGACAAGAGGAGTAAGGGGCTCCCCTAATGGGAGGGTGAAAGGCGGGGAGGGCCTTGGCTTGTGGCTCATGAGGTGCCCTGGAATTTAGATCTTCTTTGGCTGTTTGTCTCCCCTTCCATCATTCATGCTTGGTCACTGCCATACTACTCTTGCCTTTCTAGAGCGGCAGGGGAAGAATGCACCCCCAGGAGGTGATGAGCCACTGGCAGAGACAGAGAGTGAAAGCGAGGCAGAGCTGGCTGGCTTCTCCCCAGTGGTGAGGTCCAGGGAAGATGGGGGTGTCAAATAGAAAGCCAGAGGAAACATCTTTCTGCTTTGGAGCTGCCACCTCTAAAGGAGGTGGAAGCCAGAGGTTTGGGAGAGGGGATACCCCTGATAAATTTGTTCTCGTACCCCCTCATGTGTCGTGTTCATTTTGACTCTCCTGTAGGTGGATGTGAAGAAAACAGCATTGGCTTTGGCCATTACAGACTCAGAGCTGTCAGATGAAGAGGCTTCTATTTTGGAGAGTGGTGGCTTCTCCGTATCCCGGGCCACAACTCCGCAACTGACTGATGTCTCTGAGGGTACGGGGAGCCCTTTGCTGCTCCCTCCCCACCCTCCCCCTGATCTTCCTGTTTCCTACCATGGGTACTTGTTGTGCTGTCTGGCCTACTGACTCTAATTCTACTCAGCTCCTAAAAGACCCTAGCAGGCCCATTCCCCATTCCTTTTTTTTTTTTTTTTTTTTTTTTTTCCTCTCTCGAGACAAGAGTCTCACTCTGTTGCCAGGCTGGAGTGCAGTGGTGCCATCTTGGCTCACTGCAACCTTCACCTCTCTTATTCAAGCAATTCCCC